ACCCCTGCGCCGATAAAGCCGCAACCCAACGCGAGGATAGGAGGAGAGGGGATTGGGGCGGGGGGGGGTGGAGGGGGAGAGGCAGCCGCACCCGGGTTCCCCACCGCAGGCTGGGTGTGAATCCCGCACCGGGCGGGGGGAGCACAGCGGGTCCCGCATCCCGGGGGGCGCGGCCCCACCCCGCAGCCGCAGCTCCGTCCGCAGGGCGGGCGCTGTCCGCGGTGCTGAACGGCGGCGGCGGGGCCGCAACCCGCGGGCGGAGGCGGCGGCGGACAAAGGAGCGGGGCGGGGCCCTTTGTCCTCCCGGTGCGGCGGGGACGGAGAAGACGCGGGGGATGGGGAGGAGGGGGCTTTGTCCGCCCCGCCGTTACCTTGGCGCCGATCTGGTTGCCGCACTGCCCCGCTTGGATGTGGACGATCTCCCTCATGGTGCGGCCGGACCGAAGCGGGTCGGGAGCGGAGCGGCACCGAAAGCGGAGCGGCACCGGGAGCGCGGGGGGCGGTTCCGCCGCCGCCGCCGCCTTTATAGCCGCCCCGCGCCGCACCGGGCCGGGCGCTGACGTCACCGTCGCTCCGCCGCCAATCAGCGGCCGTCGCCGCAGCGCTGCAACTGCCCCTGCGGCACCGGCGCCGCCGCCGCCCCGCCCAGCCTCGCCCGACCCGACCCGACCCGGCCCGGTCCGATTCGCTCCTGCCGGGTTCGACCCCGCTGCACTGCGCGGCCCCGGTAGCGGCCCGAGCCGACCCGGCGGCACCGCGCTGCCGGAGCATCCCCGGGGACACGGGCACGGCGGGGGGACACACAGAAAGGGGAGGGGGACACGAGGTGGGGGAGGAATGTCTGCAGCCATTGTGGGGGAGGGGAGGGGACCCGCCCACTCGGACACGCGTGGGGGATCCCGCACTGGGGCTCGGGTGCGGGCACGGGGATGGGGTGTCCCCCGGGCCCGCCCGAGCATCGCATAGGGTGGGATCACGGTCCGCTTCGTGTGCGGGGAAAAAGGGGCCAACGCCCACCGGGGGCTGTACGCGGGGGGGCTGTACCGGGGGAGGGTGCGGTGTCCCGGAGCCCCGCGGACCGCAGCGTGCGCTGCCGGAGAACAAAGGCGATGGCGTTCGGAGCCGCCTTTGTCCCGCGGTAGTCGCGCTCCGCAGCCCCCACCCTCCCGTGCAGCCCCTCGGGGGCCGCCGGATTCCCCCATGGCGGTGGTGCCGGAACCGGTGCTTGCATTGCTGCTGTCGAGCAGCGATCTGTCCGCAGGTGTCCCCAGCGCGGGCTGGTGGGAAGCGCCCAGATGCCGGTGCTCGGGGCTGCCCCGCACCCAGCGCCCACGGCCACGCGCAGTGCCAGGCACACATCATTGCAAAGAGGCTTTATTTGGGAGCATGAGGTCGGACAGCCCAAAGCCGGCTGCATTGGGCCACCCAGGGGACACCCCACAGTGCGTCCATCTGTCCATCTGTCCGTCTGTCCATCCATCCATCCATCCATCCATCCTCCTGTCTGTGCTGCTGCCTACCAGGAGCACAGCACCACCTCCCGCAGCGTCCGCCGGAGCTCCTGGCTCCGGAATGCGTAGATCAGGGGATCGACCACCGAATTGCAGATGATGAGGATGAGGAAGAGGTTGAAATAGCTGAAGAAGCAGGTGCAGAAAGGGTTGGTGGGGCAGGTGACAATGAGGATGAGGTGGAAGAAGAAGGGCCCCCAGCAGATGAAGAAGACTCCCAGCAGGATGGTGAGCGTGACGGCTCCCTTCAGGCTGCTGGTGCGGTAGATGGTGGGCTGCTTCTGCTGGCTGGAGATGTTGCGCACATGATGGCGAGCCAGCGCGAACATGTGAATGTAGAGCACCAGCATGAGGACCAGCATGAAGAGGAAGAAGCCGATGAGGCAGAGCAGGATGGCGTTGTTGCGGTAGTAGGTGATGAAGACGGTGCTGGAGACGGTGCTGGTCAGCCAGACGCTGGCCATGGTGACCACGGCGCGCTGCAGTGTCATGATGCTGTGGTAGCGCAGCGCGTAGAAGATGGTGATGTAGCGGTCCACAGCGATGACCCCCAGGAAGGAGAGGGAGGACACGACGGAGCTGCAGATGAGCATGTCGATGACGTTGTCCATGTGGCGGACGATGCTGGCGCGGATCACCAGCACGCCGTGCTCCATCAGCAGCATGAAGAGCGTCTCGGCCAGGTTGCTGACGCTCACCAGCATGTCGGAGACAGCCAGGCAGCAGATGAAGTAGTACATGGGAGAGTGCAGATTCCTGTTCTTGAGGATGGCGGCTACCACCAGCAGGTTCTCCACCAGGCTCACCAGCCCCAGTGTCAGGAAGAGCTCATTGGGGATGTCCAGCCCCTGGCACCAGGCGCCGCCGGCCCCAGCTGTGGCGTTGCTCTGGTTGCCCTCACTGGCGTTCCAGGGCTCGCGCAGCAGGCGCAGGGGGGCCAGCGTCGACATGGCCCCGGCCTCAGCCCCAGGGACCCCCTGGTTGGGGGCCGTGGCCCTGAGCACAACTGCAGCGCCTACAAAGTCCCTGTGCTCCCAATCAGCCCCACCAGTGCTCACACAGCGCCCGACCACGAGGCAGAAGGGATGTGGGCACCTCTGTGCCCCGGGCACAAGGATGGGGAACGGGTCCCCCACCCGGGAGCCCACTGGGCAGCAGCGCAGGGACTCTGCTGTCTCAGCCGCCCTCCCCACCGGCACTGCCTGGCGTATCCGGAGCTCAGCAGTGGTGATGGGGAAGAAAGGGCCCTTTCTCTGTCCTAATTTAAAGCTGGCTCCCTCGGCTCCTCCTCCTGAGAAGGGTGGGCACACACATGATGGCCTGTGCCTGGGTAGCCGGGGGCTGAGCTGTGCTGGGGCACTGCGCACAGCGGGGTCTCTGTGCGCCTTGGGGTCCCGCGTGCCCCAGGGCTGGGCAAGCCATCTGGGGGCCGTGCAACACAGTGGGGTTTCCCTGAACCCTTCGGGAACCTGGTGCGCTGGGGAACTGTGCACACTGGGGATCCCACACACGATGGGGTTTTGTGTGCCCTGGGGACCCCACAACAAGGGCAGCGTGAGGGGCAGAGCCCATATGCGGCCGTGGCCATGTTCCCCCAAGTGTCCCTGGAAGAGTGCTTGCTGTGGACTGCAACGCATCCGCTGGGGATTGTCAAAGAAGCAATTGAGTGCGGTTCCGTGTTGCAGCCACTTGCGATCCCTTGCTCAGCACAGTGCCCCTGGGAGCTTGGGCGGGCTGGGGATGCGGGACCCATCTGACCATCATGTGCCTTCAGCTCACGGTTGATGCCTGGAGCTGCTCAGCCACCAAAGAGCCATTCAGGGCTCCATTCACTGGTTGTTTCCACTGGATGTTTCCACCCCATTCTTGTGGGGGCTGGGGCCTCCCCAGCACTCAGAGTTGCCCCTGGCCCCACGTGGATGAAGGCAGCTGTGGGCAGGCCGGGTGCTCTGTGCTAGGCATGGTTTTACACCCCACAAATGAGAGCGGCATGCAGAGTTGAGGCCAGAGCACGCATCTCCACTGCCACACTGGGAATGGCCAGGCCACGGTTGGAAGTTGCAGCATGGGGAGGTCCTCAAACGTGCAAGCACAATACCTGGCCCAGCATAGCTCATAGGGCCATGTGCCCACAGCCAAATGCTGGCGGCACAGCCCGGCCAGATGGAGCAGCCCTGCTCGGCGCCATCCACCTGGGCAGACGGCGTCCCCAGAGCCTCCCGTTCCCCCCAGGCAGGACCAGCCCAGGCCGATGGGGAAACGTGAGCAGGAGGAATCCAGCCTAGCAGACATCAGCTTCCCCACCCGGCTCAGTGGTACACGTGGTGAATTTCAGCTTTATCAGCAGGGGTTCGGGGAGCAGAGCTGCAAAACGTTGAGTCTGCAGATCCCAACAGCGTGAGCGTGGATGGGCCTTGGCTCCTGCATGGATGCGGGAGGGCAGAATGGAGCCAGCCCCAGCTGGGGAGCTCAGCTGCAGCACCGGGGGGAGTGGTTGTTCCAGGCAGTGCAGCCTGGCTCAGCATTAGAGCCTCATACACCGTTACACAGCAGAAATGGAAAAGCTTTGTGAGCAGCAGTGATGAGCTAAGGGCTTTATTGCAGCTGACCTCATTCTGGGCGCTGCACCACATTGCACCCTGCTTGAAGGTGGCAAATCAAGGGAAGAGAGAGGAAAGCAAAAAGAAGGGAGGGGTATCCTCTCTGTTTCAAGCACGATCAGAGGCTGCAGCACAACTCGAGCTACTCCCACCCACCAGCCAGCCACCGTGCAGCCCGGTCCATCCCTGCCCCCAGGGAGCAGCCCCGGCGCTCACCACCAGGGAGGGGGAAAGGAGCCTTCACCCCAAGGAGGCACAAAGGACAGGAGGAGCACAAGGAAGAGATCTCCAATGATTAAGCACAGGATGGAGCTCAGGAGGGCAGCTGGGGGAATCAGGCAACAAATGCATCTGTAGGGGGCCAGAAGGGGCCTAAGCTGCCGAGGGACAGCTGTTGTAATTAGCTCTCCCATTTTAAGGCAGTGCTCAGCCCCCGCTGCAGCAGCAGCCTCCCCCAGACGCAGCCTCTTCCCCCCCAACGACAGCCAGCCCCTCTGCTTTGTAGGACTTTATTGGAGTGCGGCAGGGGCGGGGTGAGATCACATAGGGTTAAGGGCAGGCGTGAGCTCTCAGCTCAGTCCCAGTCCCCATCGCCTTCAGGATTGTCGTCTCGTGGGGGTTCCTGGAACTGGATGTTGGCCAGCATGTCCCGCATGGCCGCCATGAGCCGGTTCACCCCCTGGTTCAGGTCCTGCCCCGCTCCCGCCTCTTCATCTCCATCGTGCCTGATGTCACCCTGCAACAGAGAGGAGCTGCAGCACCCAGGCTCAGAGCTGGCTGCAGCAGGCAGACACAGACAACGCCACATGCCAAAAAGCATCAGGCTGCTCTGCAACCTGACGTTTACACACTGCATATGCCAAGAGCCACTCCCTTTGCAGAAACACTGTGCAGTAAAAACTTCTGTGTACTGAAAGCAAAAACATGCTCTGATTTGCCAGCAGCTGCTTTGTTGTTGCTACATACCTGCAAGTTAAAATTTGGCAACAGTGATCGGAAGAAAAGAGATAAAGTGCTTTCATTGGATGGATGATTCGTTCTGAAAGACAGAAATCGCACACCACACTTAAAGGGAAGCTTTTACTCAACCTGACTGTGCTTGTTTGGCCAAGACAGGGCAGAGGAGCTGGTGAGAACCACACTGTCTCACAATGCACAGCCCCCTCCATGAGCCACTACCTCCCCCACTACCTCCCTTTGGGAATTCATAGGGATTTCTTATCCAGGTTTCATTTACTACAAACCACATCAGTTAAGAAATAACTCAAGTTCTTCGGCAGCCTTTGCCTCCACAGCTGTGACTAGCTGCTGTCTGACAGCCACCACCAGCCCCAAGCAGAAGCAGCAGGACCAGTCCTGCCTGTATGCTCTGCCTGTCGGCAAGCACCACCAGCCAGGCTGCTCTTCCTCTCGGGTGGAGGAGGACAGCAGCACAGAGCATCTGTGTGCAGCCCTGCCCGAAGCTGAGCTGTCACCAGGAGGAGAGCTGTGCCAGCAGGCACAAGGTGAGGGTACCTTTCTGGTCTCGTGTAGGAGATGATGGAGTCTAAAGGAGGAAGGGGGTCAAACCCCATCACAGGCTGCGATGTCACCTCCTGCAGAGAGGAAGAAGAGAGGGGAGGTGAAGGCTGTGCACCTCCAGGCACAGAGACAGTCGGACCAGCTGGGCAGGCCTTGGTCTTGGAGAAATCATCAGCCACAGCCCAGCCTGCCCACACAACACTGTGTGTTTATCCCGAGGACACCCAGGAAGCTGGGCATACTGGGTAGAAGCTTTGAGGTCATATGGATGTTTCTTTCTGGTAGCTCTGGCCTGAGATGCGTCCAATGTCTGCATGTGTAGCAGGGTCTGGAATGCCACCACGCTGCACACAGCAGTGCTGTCTGTGCCCTATCAGGGCCCCTCACCAGAGGCAGAGCTGCCGTGGCCTCCTTCATCTCTGAGAGGATGACATGCCGGTAGATATTCCTGGGTGCACTCTGGTATCGCATTTTCCTCCTAAAGCAGGGAGGGGGGACAGCAGTTAGCAAGGAGCACACCTCAGTACAACCAGCATCTCATTTCTGCTTCTCTTATGTGCAACCTCAGCTCCATCCCTGGCTCTGCTGTCACTCGCAGTATCAGACAGACCTGGCTGAAGGCAGAGCCAAAGTCACTTGGCAGCTGCTGACCTTCAAATGGAAGAGCAGAACAGCTCAGGGGTGCTGCACAGCTCACTCTCACCAGCCTCCTTACGCTGCAGGTCAGCAGAGCAAACTACCTTTAGTTTAGGACAAAAATTAATGCCACCCTCCTCAACTTCTCAGAGCCTGAAAACGTTTCTAGCTGCTCCGAGCAAACCCCAGCATCGCTGCTGCCCAAGAGAGAGCTTCTCCCTTGTCTGAAGAGCCCCCGGCCTGATCTGTCCCTGTTTGTCAGCACTGAGGTCCAGCAACAGAGCTGATCACCTCTGCCTGCTGCACTCACTTGTGCTCAGACTCCTCCACCAGCGGGTCCCTGGCATCCACCATGCGTAAGACCTCGTGGACGTTCGTCTCCAGCCAAGCCATCACAGCTGGGTCCTTCCACAGGGAGTGAGTCCTTCCCACGTAGAGGGACGTCAACTGGTTCAAGGCAGGAGACTGGCTAAGGAGACAGTCGTTATTCAGCGCACTCTCCTCTTGCCTGCAGGTCTCTGTGCTTCCTGGAAATGGCTCGTCATCTCCACACTGTGCTTCAGTGTGAGAGCACGGAGGCCGGAATCACAGGCTCCCAGCTCTGCTGTTTACATCTACCTTCACCAGTTTTTCTGCCTCTTTCTATTTCTGGGATAGACAGCCATGAGATGAAAGTTACTCTGCCTTTACCTCAGGGAGAGACCGTTCACGTGTTTGGAAGGACCACATGTCAGGGAAACCCAGACTGACAGGAGACAGTCTGCCCTGAAAGCATGCACACATCATTCCAACTACATGCACCAACAGGCTGCAGGATGAACTTCTGACCCAACCACACTAAGGTGAAGCAGGTCTATCAGAGTTATCTGATAGCCTTTATGGGAACCCATTATCAATGCATCTAAGAGCCTCTCAGAAAAGTAAATATTCTCTGCAGCTTTTAAACTCCATTAGCTGCCTGAGCAAGCAAAAGCCCACAGCCAGCAAAATTGAGTCCTTCTCTTCACTGAGAACATCTCCAAGCCTTACCTTATCTGAGCATTCAGCCCAAAAAAGGAATGGGAGGCGACCCTGGCATCAGGCTGCACACTGCAGTGGTCCAACAGCGGCATAAGAACTGCAGGAGAAAGTCATACAGCTCGTGTTCAGCAGAAGTGCCATGGAAGCAGTCAGTCATCACTGCAGCTGCAGAAACAGTCCCATCCCAG